TTTTTAATATCTTTGCCAGGGTAAAGATTCAGTTGGTCTTTTCTCAACTTGACTGTTTTTTTTAGATATCGGTGGTGTACCTTGTTACCCGCAGACCTTTAAGCTCCGCTCTATCTTACATGTTCTAAGTGAACTAAGAAAAATTTAAGATTTGATCTCCAGCTTTATATAATCTGATGTCATTAGATATGTATTTTTGACTTGAAGATTCAAGTTGTGTTTTCAATTTAAAAATGCGTTTAATTGAAATTAAAGCCCATTGAGATCGTGTGAATGGTGATACTAAATCTTCCACTGAAATTACTTTGAATGAAGATTTAGTTCAATTCCAAACATATTTTCCTCCAAAACACACCTAATTCCTAGTCATAGTATGCTTAATAAATTCAAAATAATTTGCAAATGTACTTATGAAATTTTTTGGAAGCAGAATATAATTCAAAATATATTATAAACACAACACTCTGTCATTTTGGGAATTCTGGTAATGTGGTTATGAGCTCCTAGGTATTTGTACCATGCAATGCTTTTGCTAGTTGTGCAACGTGAGAGCTTTGATGCATTCACCTGTTCACAGATGCCGCACGCCTCTTAACTGCGTAACGAACCACATAAAGAACCTCCTCACCGTTGTTTATACACTGCTTGCATTTGCTAAGGTCCTAGATAAAAGAAAGTATTACGAGTGGAAATTATTTGGTGTCAATAAAAAATAGAAGTGACATGCTACGGGTCTCTTCTGTTGAATGATCATATGGGTTGGTAGCCACTAACTATCAAATATTCTGCCTTTGCTTCTAATACCTAATCTCCAAAAGGTATGATTGTCAGTATATAACTTTAGTTAGATTTCACGAGTATATTATTATGCGTGACAACAAAAAGATGTACTTATAATAACGTATGCAAGAAGTCGAATTTTGACATTTTAACCTTCTGGAGCTTAAGTTTTAAAATTAGATATAGGGTAAAATGTTCGATAGCTTAGCCAAGAACATAAGTTTTTGACAGTTTGTGACTACCAACTCATAAGATTAGATCTGTGAAAACCAACATAAAAGACTTGTACCATGACATTCTTACTTTATTCGGAAAATTGACCCTTTATTTTCACTAATATGATTAAAAATAATATAACTATAATTAGGAGCATTGCATGGATCAGAGTAGTTGATTCTGGGGAAACACTATAAGGACAATTGGAAGAGTTTGTAAATGGTTTTGAGACAAATGAAGTAAACTTATTAATGATGAAGTATTTTCTGGAATATAACAGGAAAATATTTTACTGAAAATGATAACAAAACAAAATGCTTTCTTTCTGAAGACTCTCATTGGAGCAAAAATAGGAGATCAAAAACCAAAACATGAATAAAAAGGCATGCGTTTGACAACTTGCAGGACAACATATAGCATAAGGAATTAATAGCTAATTATAAAAGTTAAAATAATAAATAATAAATAGTTATAGGAGAAAGAAAATATTGATGGTGGTTAAACAAACGTAGTGGTCTCTGGATAGTGTGTATGAAGCCAAATTGATAAGCCAAACAATTTGGTGTCAATATGACGGAAACCCTAATTTAAGATACAATTATAACAGGAAACAATATCTTTATTGTTATTATTATTTTGTTTATAGAAAGTAAAAAATCTCGTAGGCAAGTTATAGTAATGAGCCAAAAATCGAAAATGAAATTTTTTGAATATTTTCACGTTTCAGAGGTTTCTGTACATTTGGGCATACCTAAGAAAAAATGGATGAATGTGTATGTGTGTATGTGTGAAGACAATTTTTTGTCGACGATTTCAGGCGTATGGATTGACCGATTTCAGAATTTAAAAAACAATCAATTCCTATTGATAGGGAGATGTGCTGATTAATTTTTGGCAAAAGCAGGTCCAGCCGTTGCGGAGATTTGGAGCTAAGAGGGTAGAAAATCAAAACCCAGTTGTTGAATGATCCAAAAAACATACTGCTTGTGTTGGCAAAACAATTGCTTTTGAAAGAAATAAAATTAATTTCAATTTGTTTTTTACAATTTTTTTTTTGTATTTCGAAAATATTCAGATTTTAATTCTAATTCTGGCTAAAGTTCTGAAGCTCACTTATATATTGTACCTACTTTAAGTAAATATAATTTTAACTTTGTTATTCAGTTTAGATAATTCTTATAAATATTAGACAATAATGTTACAGTATTTATAATCTAATTTCGTTACGGTTCGGAAAGTTCCAGCAATTTGCCTCAAAGCACTATGACATACACCATATATTTTTTTGGTTATTGTTCAAATTAACCATCGCAGTTTTATACAGCAGAATAAGGTAGAATACAACAGTTTATTTATAATTTTAATCCAAAAAATGTGTGATTTGATTGAAAATTCAATTTAATTATTTGAACTTCCAAAACAAAGTAAAGTATTCTTACTAATTGTTTTCATGAATATTGTATTTATAAAACTTTCTTGACCAAAGTATGTAATGATTAATTTATGGTCGGAATAATTTTTTATCAAACGCATAAGATGTTTTTATACTACTAAACTTTCCATATATGTTGTTCTGATTTATTAATAATATAGATATATAAAATACTTCGCTTGATTTTACTACTTTACCACTCTTGGTTTGCTTCATAAGATGTTACAATAAATAAATTTTAAAAACAACTTGTTGGAAAGGGAAACCTGCGAATATAATTTGAAAATTCAACTGAAAACAATATATGAATCCTGGCTTGTCTAACACAACTTCAATTATTTCTACAATGTAGTTATATGTTGCACTCTTCGGCTTGACAAGACAAGATAATAAAATAGTTACCTCAATAAAATGGTAAAGGTTTCAAATTGTATACCCTCGTAAAACGGCTCGAATAGCGAATTTGGTTTTATTATGCAGTAAACCATATATAAAATCATGTATCTCTAGAAATTGGCGTCCAAATAGTGCATGTTATAAAATATCTCGGTTATAAATTTATCAATCTGACCGACGATGAAAGTTGTAAGTGTTTCAATAGAATTCACTATTTTACGAATATATATATAAATTATTGGTGTAAGTTTATATGATTATTGTTGATACACAAATGTGTTTACTTATAGTATTATAAATAATCATCCAAATAGTAATCAATGTTTTTGTTGACAATTTTAATTTATCTCTATAAAATAAGTACCAGAACGTACTTATTACGTATTTATCGTCAATAATAAGTATCAACCTAATATAAGCCATTCTAACGGCAAAATATAAATGTAATAAAAAAACTTGAAATTAATATGGGCTCAAAAGTGTTCTCTGATTTTCAGTATTTATACTGTCGGAACTAAATGAAGTGCATGACAACACATAACATGTAACTAACAAACAACTATGTTCAGTAAAACTCCCGGTTAACTCCTAATTATAGAAATATCATTTTTTACCATATTTCTAAAATCTGTCAACTGTTGCTTTTCACTCTAAGGGCGGAGTAAGAATTCAAAACCAAGGTGCAAACAGATCCAATGTCTTTCTATAATTTTGAAGGTATTTTACGAAATAGTTATAATACAATAGTATAATACGTTTGATATGAATATTGATACATTTTCGTTAACATTCTGATTCAACGTTGCAAAATTTAAGGTGATGGCTGGCTACAAATATTTTGCCTTCTACGTTAAAATAGTATCATTGAAAAAATTCTATACTTTGCTTGTTTTTGAGATAATAATGGTGGATTTTTTCACCCGCGGACCTTTAATTCCAGCTCTATCTTAAATCACGTAAACTTGAAAATTATGTTCTGATATCAAAATAACAGTGCTCAATACAAAAAAAAAACGATAAACGACAAAAAATGTTAATTATTAAAAATTTGATAATGTGGCCATTTATCTTGTGTTATCGACGTCGCCTGAGTTATAAGGCGATGGCTTGTTACACAAATTTTGACTTCGAATTTGAAATAAACATCCTCTTCAAGAACCCCGATCTAGGAGGCTCAAAAGAAAAGTTCCAATTGATTTGAAGATAGATCAATTTCGATAAAGACCAGACTCACCCCTTGATATATTCCTCAGCCAGATTAGTTGACCACTCAATGGAGTGCCACCTATTGTAATTTTTAAAAACTCAGCTAATTTATTTATGTGTGTGTATGACTGTGTGTGAGTATGTTTACTGTGTGAGTGAGTTCAAACATAAGCACAATAGCTCATAGAATTTTGTAAATTGAGGTTGCTGTTAAATAAAGTATAAAAAAAAGAAAAAGAAAAGAATTTGAAATGGTATCCTTAGAATGCCTCACACAACTAATATAAATCAATTGTTTTTAAGATAATGGTGGTGGACTTTTTAACCTACAAACATATAAGCTTTATTTTATCTTACTTCACAATCTTGAACTTGAGTTTTACAATATTTCAAATTATAGTTTTAATTCAACATGGTAATTAAAAGCGACTCATGAAGGATCACTTTTTTTTTAATTCTTACGCTTGAATAATAGTTTCATTGAATATGATAAAAACATATTATACGGCAAGGTACTTCTGCCGTAAGACTATCATAGTGCCGATTTGGACCTATGGAATCGAACTATGGGGTTGCTCTTGTACATCAAACATAAACATCATTGAAAGGTGCCAGAACAAAATTCTGCGTATCTTAACAAATGCGCCTTGGTATATTTTGAACTTTTTTCTACATAAGAATTTGAAAATCTCTACAGTCAACGAAATTATCAAAATTAGTTCATCTTTCAACAATGAATTAATACAGCATATAAATACTACTATTCAAGCGGTTCACAGACCGTTAAGAAGACTAAGCAAGAAATGGCTTTCCAAGACATTAAAGTCTTGATTAACAAAAATAAATTATAACAAAAAAATAAGTGCTCAAATTACAGAAATAGTTTTAAAGTAGCATTGCCTATCTCTTTCTCATTAAATTAAATTAGTGAATTTAATCCAATTTTAAGCAATATTTCTTTTTATTCCAGGTCGTCCAGAACCGACAGTATCATGGTTTATCGACGGTCGTCTCCATGACGAAGCTCGAGCGTCACCATCAATGCACCACGTCACCATAAATCGGCTTCAAGTTCCGCTCCTGAGACGTCAAGACCTCAATTCTACGTTTCGATGTCAGGCGGCCAACACGAAACTGATACTTCCGACCGAGCGGTCTGTGAGACTCGAGATGAATCGTAAGTTTCATATGGCTTTCATTTCATTCGCTGGCTTTGTATACAATGTGTGCAATGAGTTATTCATTATTATTTATTTATTTCATTTTAATCGATCTTAAGCAATGGGCAATTTACCTTATTTTCATTTTATAATATAAAAATGAACACTAAAAAGAATAAGATATAAAATTTATATCTTATTCTTTTTAGTGTTCATTCAGTAATTCACGGTTGACATAATACATTTCACATTTCTGTTACGTACATTTTTTACTCTAATGCTCTACATAAAGTTTTTGGTATTTTATTTCAAATTTTTAACTTTCCTTAGGGTTGGTTATAGTAATCGCAAAAAATCGAAAATATTTTTTTATATATCTTTACGTTTCTAAGGTTTCTGAATATTTTGGCATACCTAAGTAAAAATGGATGTATGTGTGTGTATATATGTGTGTGTGTGCAGATACATTTTTTTTGAATAATTTGAATAATTTAAAAAATATTCGATTCGTATTGATAAGGAGACGTGCTGATTAGCTTTTTGGCAAAGACTGGTCGAGCCGTTTCGGAGATATGGGGCAAAAAGTGCCAAAAATGGTAACTGATTTTTTGAGAAAACGGAGCGTACGATTTGTATGGTAACTGATGAAATTTTTGGAAAGTAGGTTTAGCGATTTCGGAGATCCAATAAAAAATAGTGATAAAAAATGCCATTTGGCGTACAAAATAATCATTACACGTATGCACAACAAATTAGCACATATTTTATAAATATTTTAATTTTGTTCAAAATTCCTAAAACGATTCAAATTATAAAACTTATTAAACTAATTTTTCAAAAACGTCAATTGTTTTCCAAAATTTTAAAAATCTAAAAAATCGATTTTTTCAGAGTTCTAATAGAAAAATGAATCTTTTTTAAACATTTTAGTTTTTGGTACGGAAAGTTCCAGCAACTTGCCTTAAGGCACAATTCCATGCACCACTAGTTCAACAATAATTTCATACCGAGTACGACGCAAAGGTCTAATTTGACGTTTAGATACTGTGACTGTCATATTAACTGCATTTGTAACATATAACACATATCAACTATCAAACTATTTTCAGTAAAATTCCCCGATAGTTCATCATTATAGAAATGTTTTTTTACGCTATTTCAATCTAGTCGAAGGATAAATTTATGATTTCGCGAAGAAATCCGATTTGCTTGTTTTGTTTTCTCGGCATTTCAAGCCATTCTGAATCGAATAAGACCAAATTTGGAAAAAAAATGTATGTGTATGCATGAGTATGAGTGTATGTATGAGTATGCATGTGATCCGACTTTTTACATTTTGTCCACGTTTTTTGAAAAACGATTGGACCGATTTCAAAAATTTAAAGGCCATGCAATATAGCTCTATAAGGACTATCGTATACAGTTATGTACGACATTCGGCCAAATACTTTTTTTTTATTAGCAGAAAAAAGTGAATATTTTTGTCCACGTTTAAGCCCGCAATTTTGAACAAATTTTGAAAATTCAAAAACTATTTGTAAGATATTAGTTGTGAATAGCGTTGATTAACTTTTGATGAAAAGTGGCCGGGTCATTTCTTTGTAATTAAAATCTTAGTTAGGATTTTGATGGAACCTTGTATAACCATATATTTGCATTTCTATGTTTTGTGGTGTTTTGTAGGCAGCCACTGATTACAGTTTACGTCCACAATTGAATAAAATACATTTTTAAAAAACGAAATTGGTGAAGTAAAATGTGTTAAACATGTTATTTTAATTTCTACAAACATCAATTGAAAAAGGTTTCGATAATTTTCATGAAAGGAAAAATATTATTTACCTAACTAGGTACATCTTACTTTTTATTGATTGAGTTGATTATATTTAGTGTCGGTAAGTGCATGGATCTTGCCTTAAGGCAAAGTGCTAGTTCTAAAATTTGTCATTCATAAACTTTTACCTCATAGATAGCATAAAATTTCATTTAGCATGCATATGAAAACATACAAAAAAAACATAGGCGGGGTAAAAAGATACAAATGTCTTATTATTAATTTTAAAGCTGTTTTACGGAGCAATAGCTGCATTATTTATTCAATGCGATGCAATTTAGGTTGAACTACTATTAATCTACATCTTTTTCAACTTCTACTACTATTACAAAATCTTTATTCGTTTAACTTTTTATAATCAGACTCGTTGTTTCTTACAAAACAGTTATTACAAATAACGTTAATTCAATATGTTTTCGAAATACATATCTTGTGTTTTACAAAAGTCACACTGCATATGACCTTTTTCTAATACTTAGTCAAAAGAAATTCTTCGCCAAGGTTGGAATTACTATTAATTTAGTTTCAGAATAATTATTATCTAACTCAATTGTTTGGATTTTTTAGAGCGACGCATTAAAATTTTTATTAAGTTGAAGCACAAATAAACAGCATAACATGAAACACCGAGATACTAATATTTTGAAACAGGCAACGCTTTTATTGGGGACACGGTCATGTAGGGTTTTAAAATTATTACTGAACATTACATGGTTTATTGTTTTTAAATTTGTTACATCAGCAGTAAAGTTTTTTATGTTTAATAAACGAGAAGTATAAATTTTGTTAATTGTATTTTTCGTGTTCAGTTGAAATTTATGGGAGTTAGGTTTGGAATATAAAAGCCCGTTCGTATTGCATTAAGTGCTTTAACTCTTAAAGTGCATCCAATTTCATTAAATTGCTATTTGAATGTTAAAACTGGAATATATATATATATATATATATATATATATATATATATATATATTTCAAATATAAATTCTTAAATTTTAACATTCGTGTTATATACAATTAAAAATAATGGATGCAATTAGTATCTGAATTAGTCATTTATATTAGGGATAGTATGGGGACAGTGGTAATTATCATAAGTATAACTTTCGGTAATAATGAAGTTAATTTAATCATCTCAAACAATAATATCTCTGAAAATTTATCCTAATGTAATTTCATTATCGAACTTATAATTATTAAATAGGGTAAGTTACAGTATTCTAAAATAAATCCATAATGAAAATTTTTGCTACTGTTAACGATTCAGATCTTCTGGTCATTTTGGCATACCCAAAAAAATGTTGTCTTGTGTATGTGTGTAGTACTTATGTATGTATGTGCAGATATAAATTTTGGTCGATGATTTCTGGAACACAGATGAATCGATTCCAATGCTTAAAAAGGTTTCTGCAAAGGCAGATACAGCCGTTTTGGAAATACGGAAAAAAAAGTGCGAAAATGGCAGTTTTTGACAAAACAAACCGCCTGACTTTATAACAAAACGTTTTACTTGTATTGACGGAATCAAGAATTGGCAGTCCAGCGGTTTCAAAGATCCAATAGATAAAGTTTTAAAAAAATGTCATTTGGCGGTCAAAAATGATCATTAGACATATGCACATCTAATTATCAGATATTTTATACTAATTTTAATAATAAGTACAAATTTTGTTTACATTTATATGGGTTCCGTACAAAATTTATAATATTTAACTGTTCGACTGCAAAGTGGCGCTTATGCGTCTCGATATTTCGTCTCTGAAACAGATTCGCAGTCTGATTGCTTTGAAAAAAATTCAAAATTTTAAAGAAATTTTAGAATTAAAAAAATACTGTTACAGAAAGTTTCAGAAATTTTCTTTAAGGCACATATTGCACAGCTAGTTTTTAATTATGTTAATATTAACCTTTGGATGATTTTTTAGTTCAAGAAAAATATAAATGGCTCTAGATAAAATTAATAAGACTGTTGGTTTCAAAACACGGTATTTGAAACCAAATTACGGTGCCCTTGTTTCAGGAATTGTTTCTAGTGTCATATATTTTGATTTGTTATAATAAGATATAAAAGTTTAGTATGTGAATTATCATTAACTGATTATCATAATTTAATACATGCATAAATCCAAATATTTCTTATCGTTAGTCATATATATTTATTAGTTTTATTGCATAATTTAAACTACTTATAAAATAAGTAAATAAAGAAATCTTAAATTGTTAGTGTTTATTATAAAAATATATTTTATGCTAATGTCCCGTCACCCTAACCACTAACCTATGGGCAAATATAAAATTCAATATAAAATTGATACAATAAACTGATCATGTTAAATTTTTCTGTTTTATATAAATTTGATTATGTAACCTGGCTTTGATTAGAGCATTCTGGAATTTACGTTTTTAGAACAAAAGTTTAAATAGTAATTACACAAAAATTACAGATTATCAATTTACTCTATATCATTTCTATTTTTTGCAATATGATAGTTTATTTTAGCTTCCACCTTTGTCGCTGAATGCTCACACATAAAATATATCATTTATAAAAGATTAACAGGACTTTAATACCCGGATTTGGAGTAACCGCAGTAAACCATACCGTTTCGTTCATATTAAGCCTTCATTAATCCTTTTGGAATTAATGAAATGTGTGTATATATCATTTGTTACTTTGAATATTTCATGAATGGAGGCAAATGTGCTCGGGTACTTTCTTCACGAAACATTTGCTGGAAAATGTGTTTTTCATTGAGCTATAAAGCATTTTTATATTCATTTAAGAAATATAAGTAAGTAAAATAATAATATATTATTAGTTGATTTACATATAAGTTTGAAACGACAATTTGCTATTTTGTATAGAGTTTTTAACTTTCCGTAGGGTTAGTTATAGTAATCGCAAAAAGTCGAAAATGTTGGCATATCTTAGAAAAAATGAATATACGGGTGTGTGTACGCGTGTGTGTAGGTGCGTATACAATTTTTCGTCGACGATTTTAAGAACACAAATCAGACAATTTGAATGATTCAAAAAACATTCGATTCCTATTGATAAGGACACGTGTTGATCAGTTTTTGACAAAGGTAGGTTTAAGGGTGTTGAGATAACGGAGCGTATGATTTGAAATAATCAAAAAACGTTTTATTTATATAGACAATATAAAGAACTGATGAAATTTTTAG